CCCCAAAACCCCAAAACCCCAAAACCCCAAAACCCCAATTAGGATGAATAATATTGAAAGTTATAACAATTAGTTACTTTGCACAGATTTTGATATATTAGGGTCAATTTTGGTAATTATCTCCTTTGGTAATGTTTTGAGCCCCAGAGCAATCATTAGCATTGAAATAGAAATTACTTAGATTTCCATCAATTAAGCTCTGTTTAGACTGGTTGTAAGTCTTATCAACCGGGTTATCAAGGTCTTCAGCAGGTAAGTTTAGAACATCTGAGTCTGAGATAAGTTGTGGAATATATGGAGCAGGATATTCCCTTGCTTCAATCCGGCCCCAATCAATTGATTTGAAAAAGCTATGATTTTTAATCTCGCTAGATCCTTTACTCCCGATTCGATCCTTTGGGTTTGGAGAAAGCAATCTTCAGATAAGGTCCCTAGCATCCTCACTGAATTTATCAGGCATTGAGATTGTATTATTAAGAACTGATTTGAGAATACCTTTGGGAGAGTCCCCTTTGAAAGGAGCTTCTCCCGCTATGATCTCGTAGATAAGAATTCCATAGCTCCACAAGTCAATTGCATATGTTTGTTTGTCTCCTGTTATAATTTCTGGAGCCATATAATACGGATCTCCTCAAAAAGTTGTAGTAATTTCTTCCATGGAACGAGCAAGGCCGAAATCGGATAATTTGATATGTCCATCTTTATCCAAGAGGACGTCTTCAGGCTTGAGATTTCTGTAAACAATCCCATTTTGGTGTAAGAACTCAAGACCTCAGAGGATCTCTGCTGCATAGAAGCGGCAGTGATCCTCTGAGAGTCCTTTTGTCTTCTGAATATGATTAAAAAGGTCACCTCCGTTTGCGAGTTCAAGGATCAAATATAAGGTATAATCCTGTTGGAAGGCATAATGTAGACCTACCACGAAGGGGTACCTGACTTTCTCAAGAATAAGCCTTTCACTCTTGATATCAAGAGTGTCCTTATTTGTACTTGATTGATCTCTTCATAACCTTCATTGCGTAGTTCTTACCGGTGTCTTCTTTCTCGACAAGGAAGACAGTAGAGGTTGTTCCAGTGCCTATTTTACCCTTTTTGATAAAGTCCCGAAGAGATATGCGAGGATTATCAATGCTGATGTCTGAGCTGACTCTCTCTTTCTTTTTCCTGCTTACCGATAAACTGGTAGTATCACTCTTGTCAAGGCAAGCTCCCATTATAAATGATAATAAAGAAATATTTCAATTTTGAGATTACTGAAAGGGGTTTTGGGGTTTTGGGGTTTTGGGGTTTTGGGG